ACACTAATACCAGCTGCCATTATTGATGGTAGTATGCAATTTTTGGTTACGCCGATGATCCAATAAACCATGGGTCGTGGTAGGACAAATGCCTCGTAAGTTAACTCCTGAGCATTGGCTTATCATGTGGAGTTGTGGAGCACACCATAGTGAACATGTCGTTAAAATTCTAATGTACGAGACTGGTGTAAAAGAATGTTGCATTGGACGATTATGTTATAATGAAAGTTACACTTTCTACTAACATGTGCTCCATTTTTAGTGAGGTACGTATAAAGAGTCCATAATGAGTCAAGAGCCTCGAGAGCCTGTACATAGAGAATGAGGGGCGTGGGAGCAAACTAGTTAGAATCAAGTGATAACATATATGGCGACATGGCACTTGAGATCACAACATATTAACTTGAAAGCTAAAGTAACACAATGACGCATCCCATTAGTAATTTTGCGTTAACTTTGTCTTTACAAATGTGCAACAAATCATTGAAAAGTATCCATATATATTATTTGATCCATACATCAAGTGAAGACACAAGCTTAAAATCCCCTAGATAGTAATGCATAAGAGGAAGTAATTGAGATACATTATATTGTTAGAATTTGAGTGTGACCTGAATTCCTTGTTGAAAATAATTTAGAGTTCTAATTAAAGTGCACATTAATTAAAATCTCATTTGAAATGCAATTGTGAAATCCTATTCAAGTTTACTTGGTGAATTTTAATTGAAATTCTATTTGGAAGTTCTTTAAGAGTAACAACTTTTATTTGGACTTGAATAGGACTTTGAAATGAAAAAAAAAAAAATCTTTGGAAGATAATTTGGACGGAAACGGGCCCCAAGGCACCGAAACACAGTGCCTTGGCACCACCCACGAAAAAGTGCGCAGAGAAGTCGACGCTCAGATAGTGGGGCTGCAACGTTGTGTAGCGTATTTTTTTCTTCTCTTACTCTGTTTTTGGTATTCTACTGCATCTACAACTCTATTATAAGGACTTGGACGTCTCCTAATTGTTCCCTATATACATAGTTGACTCTTCATTATGATTTTGTAAGAAGTTAGAAATAGTTTAAATATATAATCTTTGTATTCTTTCTCCATGTTATAATAAAATATCATCAATTATCTGCAAATTATATTATTCTTGTCTTCTTGTTATCAATTACTTCATATCGTGGCTCAATCTCTTATTTTTCACAACAAACTGGTATTAAAGCATTCAAGTTTCCATAACAATTGATATCAGAGTTTTTGGTGTTGAAACTCTTGGGAAGATTGAGATTTTGATCAAGTTAATACATCAACTTGATCTTTCGTGATAGCAACAATAAAGTATGATATTCCGCTATTAGATCGGAATACAAGATTCTCTTTGTGATTGGTAAAGATGCGACCAGTATTTGATCAAATGGATTGGATGTCACGTTGTTAGGATTTGACAAAATGGCCACAACTTGGATTATGGAGGAGAAACAACGGAGGGATCAAAAGGTCATATTTCAAATACATCTTCATTTTTCAAATAATATTCTTGAGGACATTTTGAAGGAGAAGTCAGCCACTGCATTATGGTTAAAATTGGAGCAATTATTCATGACAAAGAGTCTTACTAGCAAATTGCATCTGAAACAATGTCTATATTCTCATCGTATGACAGAATGTACGTCTTTTGAGGATCACATAACTGCTTTTAAAGAAATCGTCACTGATTTGGAGACCTTGTAGGTCAAATTTGATGAAAAAGACTTGAGATTGATTTTGTTGTGTTCATTGCCTGCCTCATACACATCTTTTAGGGACACGATACTGTATAGTCGTGATACTCTAACTATCGAAGAAGTCTACGATGCTCTTATTCAAAGGAGAGAATGAAGCAACTTATAACATTTGGGATCATGGAGATGGTCTCATTATTTATGGTGGTCATTCGAGGGGCAAGTCAAAATCTAATTTCGAATTTCGTAATTATTGTAAGAAAAAAAAGATACTTGGTAAACGATTGTTATAAGTTACAGAATAAAATAAAATCAATGCAAATCAACAATAAAAAACTTCAGGATAATCAAGTATTGCAGAAAATCATAGTAGTGATGGAGAGTTTCTACTTATGTCTGAATGCAACTCCAAACCCGATGAAGCTTGGATTTTGGATACAGTTTACACTTTTCATATATCTCTAAATTGGGAATTGTTTTCAACATATGAAAAAGTTTCAAAAGGTGTTGTGATGACAAGTAATAACACATTTTGTCGGATAGCTGGTATTGGTTGGGTCAGTATAAAAATGTTTGATGTGACGGTTACAACACTTGATGTAGTGAGACAAGTTTCAAATCTGAAGAAAAATATTTCTCCTTAAGTACTCTTGATTCAAAAGGGTACAAATACACTATTGAAATTGATGTTTTGAAAGTTATCAAAGGAGCTCGTGCTGTGCTGAAGGGATATAGAAAATTCAATTTATATATCTTGCAAGGTGATACAGAGCTTTCGAATAATTAGCATATTTTAAGCACTTCGGTGGATTTTAGAGTTGGTTTATGTATTGTTGGAGTCTAATTTGAGGTATTCTTTGAAAAATACATCTCAGTTGAATTTTGAAGATATTGGTAAATTCATCTTACCACTATTATCAACGGTGTCATCGTATTCAATTGCTAGAAATAGACCCATTTTTGCCATAAAATTCCACATAGGTGCAATTATGTTGATTTTATTGATGGTTTGAGTGACGTTAAGGGTGTTGATTGTAGTCAAAATCCTTCTTTTGATGCATTCAGTTGTGATTCTGTTACAAGACTTGTTTCAAATTTATTTGGTCGTCATTAGATCACTTTTGCATCTAGTTGGGATAGCAAATGTAGATAATTTTTTAAGTTGATTTTTTTTTATGGAGAAGTTCGTTTGTGATTTTTATTTAAGAGTTCAAGTTCATTCCTTATAGTGAAATTTGTCTTCAGGTGGAGTTTTTTTTTAAAGTTTTGTTTATAGCAGTAGAATTCATGTAAGGTGGAGATTGTCAAAATATGAGTGCAATCCGAATTTTCTATTGAAAATAATTGAGAGTTCTAATTAATTTGCATATAATTAAAGTGCACATTAATTAGAATCCTAATTGAAATTTTACTTGGGAGCTCGTTGGAAGTAGGAATTTGTATTGGAATTGAAGAGAACTTTGAAATGAAAAAAAAAAATAAAAATCTTTGGAAGACAATTTGGATGGAGACTGGCACCACCCATGAAAAAGTGGGCAGAGGCGTCGGTAGCGGTGCTCGGAGAGTGGCGTCCCGACGCTGCAACGCTGTTTAGCGTATTTTTTCTTCTCCTACTTCACTTTTGACATTTTCATTCTCTGCAAATGACATTGTTCTCGTTATCAATGACTTCATATTGTGACTTAATTTCTTATCTTTTCACAATAAACTAGTATTAGAGCATTTCGGTTTTGATAACATATACGTTGAACTAGATTGAAAGAAACCCAATTAAATAAATAAAAAATTAAAGTTTTGTCTATTATTTTATTTCGACTGTTCCAAGTCTTAAGTGAGGTTGGGATCATTGACCATTCAATGAGTTCCCTTCAAATCTCAACACACAAACCCAAAAACAATCAGAATCTTTTCAACCCTAAGCAAAAACAAATCAAGAAAATCATACTCTTCATTTTAGGGTTCATACTTCACATCAGTGCCACACGTCAAGACCTAGATGCATGTATCTATAAAACCAAGCAAGATTAAGTCACATTTGAGTCACATTAAAATTTTCATTTTCATTCTCCTACTCATTTTCAACCATACATTCTTTAATAAAATAATATTTCACATCACATCAATAACTTTTTTTTCTTTTTCAACCACATATTCTCCATCAATCTATTCTTCCAAAATAATGTGGCTCAAACACATCATAAATTTAATTTCAACTAATTAATTACCAAATAAAGGATAAAAAATAGATAAAATTTGGAGTTCAGCAAAGGAATTTTAAAGAAAATGATAGATGGGGCAGTGTTGCACATGGTTCATGGGAATACAAAATTATTAGACAAAAAAATGGAATTTTTTATATAATGGGTTAAAAAAAAAAACCATTTTTTATAGACCAAGCCAACTACCCCTAAGAACAAAATAGATTTGATCGAACTTTTTCTCCAACTTTGCATTCGTACGCTTGGTATATTTCGACTTTCTACTTCGTGCGTCAAAAAATCATTTTTATTACGAACGACAGTTATTCTTCCTAACCTTATAGTTAAACCTTTATTTAATTGAATGTTTGTTACGTCGAATGAAATACGAAATATTAATAGGCTCGATTTTGTCTATAATTGTATATAGATAAATATTTTATTTGAAAATATTAAAAAAAAAATCTCCACAAAAAGGGAAGTTAGAGTTGACGTATTAAGAGAGAATGTTTATGATGATGTTAAGTACATTGATATATGCCTATATGGTCATGGTGTAATTATGACCAAGGCCAGGGGCATTTGCTCAAACCCAACATTATATAACTCCATCTCCTTCCGATAATTCGATCTCCTCACTTTCTCTGTTTCTCATTCACCCCTACAAAATTTAATTTGAATTTATTTTCTAAAATCGCTCACACTACTGTACAGAAAATGTCAAAAATGTCTGTATGCAGCAAAATCCGCCACTTAGCCACACTCCGCCGGATGCTTAGACAATGGCGGAAGAAGGCGGCAGCGGCCATGAGCACGCTCCGCCGCGTACCTTCCGATGTGCCGGTAGGCCATGTTGCAGTCACCGTCGGGTCTAGCTGCAAACGGTTTGTCGTCCGAGCTACATATCTGAACCACCCATTGTTCAAGAAATTACTGGTTCAAGCACATGAAGAATATGGATTCACCAATACAGGTCCACTTGCAATTCCTTGCGATGAATCACTCTTTGAAGAAGTCCTCCGGTACTTGGCCCGCACGGAATCGAATAAGAACTCGGCTCGCTTCATGACATTCGAGGATTTTCAGAGATATCGCCAAGTTGGGATTTTGAGCAACTTTGATTTTCGGACTGAGACAAGGTCTCTTTTGCATGGGTGAGGGGCATTTCGAACTGGGAATTGACTCGATTGAGTTAGGTCCTTCGCACAGTGAATTCGAGCGAGATCTTCCCGAGACTGGTGCCTGGGGGGTGAATTTTTTGTTCATTTTAAAAATTATATTTTGCTCGGCCGGGGGTGGTGGTGTAGCTGAGCTGAGTCAAGCCTGGTCTAGCGACAGCATTATAATGGAGAATAAGGGCAGAGTCAACCAACGAGATAGACGGAACTACTCCCACATACTACTTCAAATTAAGCAGAGTAAATAAACTAAGTGAAGATTTTTAAGGTCACTTTTGTAATTAAAGAAATTGCAAAGAAATTCAATCTTGTATGTTCATTTCATCATTTCTTAGGCAAAAAAAATAAAATTCTTGAATATTTCACTAAGAATAATTATATTTATCACTGATTTGTTTAACGTGCTAAGTTCCCATATTGTTTGAGGAAGTATTCCCCATATACAGAAANATATTGTTTGAGGAAGTATTCCCCATATACAGAAAGTCCCACATAAATTCACCAGAATACTCACAATGAGTGGGTCCCACTGTGCATTTTTAAAAAAATTTGCACCACCACGTGTGAGTATTCTATCCATTTTCTATTGAATAATGCTACTTGTAGTCGCTCACCGCAGCACTCGTCTTATGTGGCACACACATGTCAAGTGTGTATTTGATACATTAAATGTGGTCAAAAATTACCACATTAACGCATCAAATAACTACATATCATGTGTGTGCCACATAGGACGACTGCTGCAGTGAACAACTGCAAGTAGCATTACTCTTTTATATTGGTTTTGCTTCTATACATGAAGCAAAACTTGTTTTGGATCAATTTCAATGAGATTTTGGAGAAAAAAAAATACATTTTGGAATAATAATTTTTTGTAGAACATGTGATCAAAAATTAAATAAAATTTTCAAATTTACGTGTAATATTATTTAACCGAAAAATGTGTGGTTGCAAATAAAAAAAAGAGGAAAATGCATTAAATTAAATGGAACCCAAAGAGGGGCTTAACATATCGACATAAATAAGATATATAGCATGTTTTGAATTAGTCTAGCTCATATAGTACAAGTATTACTTTTATTTATTAGGTAATATTTATCTTGTAATTTTTATTTTTCGATATCAACCTTTAGTAGAAATACTTGATGAGTTGCTAGGTTTTAAGGGTGGGAGCAACCACTAACGGAACGAGGTGATATCCAATGGAGTCCCTAGCCTCAACCAAATTTTGAGAAACATTATTTTTCACTGAATCTGAATCCTGATTCCATCACTGAAAGAACTCAAGTTACTCAACGCACGAGAAAGAGATAGTATGGTGGTTCATCCTCTTCCCTCTCTCTCTCAAAGATGTTGGAAAGCATAATAAAAGAAGTCGATTTGAAAGTATATAAACAAGTATCGTATTATCAGTGTTATTTCCGTCAATTTTCCTTCATGGTATTAATCTTCTGCAAATAGGTCCAATGTGAAATTCATTGAATTCCTACTAAAAAACGTTACATGGGCTTAATAGATTAACTGAAAACAAATGTGCCCAAATATACTAGGGAGTTTCTTATTTTAAATTCGGTTTTGGTTTTCCCAAAGGGGAAAATTCATAACTAACATGTTAAGTATATACAATTTCAAAAATAAGAAAATAAGTTTCAAATTTCAAAAATGGAATTTTTTTTTTTATATTTTTATGTATAAAATAATAAATTATTAAATCAATTTATTAAATATTTAATTTTAGTATAATATAATTAACCCACCCGACTATTCCTGCGACCGTTCCGATCACCGCTCTACTCCATTGACTATTTCGACAAGGGATACTCCGGCGACTGCTCCGATTTCGACAATTATTTTGGTGACCATTCCACCGCCAATTTATTCCGGCAACTGCTCCAATTTTGACAATTGTTACCTGTGACTAGTAACATAAAATGTGACCTGTAAATTTGAACCGTGACTTTGCAAAACGACATGTGACCTATTAATATTGATCTATGACTCGTTTATATTAATTTGTGACCTATAAAAAATGACTGTGACTTGTGAATTCAAACTTGTGACCAGTGAACTGTGATCTTAACAACTCATTTATTCATTGCAAATCGATCACAATTTCTCAAATTATTGGTCACAACTAATTTTATGGTCACACATCAAGAATTTTATAGGTATTTCTCTTTAAAAATTTAAAGTCACAAATTTGTTCATCGGTCACAAATTACAAAATTTATAAGTCACAATATTTATTTACGGTCATAAACATCACATTAATTGAACATAAATTATATTTAGGTCACAATTTATCAAATTATTGGTCAAAACTTATTTTTTGGTCATAAATCAAGAATAAAATTTTTATAAGTCACAATTTATTTATCGGTTACAAATAAAAAATTCATACGTAACAATTTATTTATCGATCACAAATCACAAATATTATAAGTCATGACTTATAGACAGTCACAAATAAACATTTTTTTATGTCACACGTTAATTTTTTTGTCACAATTTATCTTTTTTATGTGTCACATATTATTTATTTAACACAAATTAATCAATTTAATGGTCACACACAACCAAATAATCTGTGACCACCACCTTACCACTGTCACCGACAACATAGTGGCTGAAGCTTCCGTCGTCGGAACCACCACCACCACCACCTCCCGACAGCAAACCATCGTCTCAAATATTGTAGCTAACATCATCATTACCACCACCACCACCACTACCCACCCACCACCACATCACCACCACCCAAACACTATTAAAACCACATATCCACCACCATCGTACAACAACATACCACCACCACACCATCACATATTTCATCCTACCCACAGCACAGCATCTCCTGAATCTCCATTTACACCACACCCAAACACGGATCACCACCGCACACCACCGTTCTCACAAATCAACACTGCACCATCACATATTTCATCATTTCTTCTGTCCTACACACACAAATCACCCACAACGCCGCTGTAGTAATCCTTTCTTCTGTCACCCCACACCGCACCATCACATATTTCATCCTTTCTTTTGTCACACACAAATCACCCACGGCGTCATCACGGCAACGTTAGCCTCTATGACAACGAGGATCAGCAACTAGGGGAGGAGAAGAGCAATCGGTACCGCCGTGCCAGTGCTTGATGACGACGAAGAGAGGAGAGAGACGAACGACATCATCACAACGGCGAATGACGAACACCACTGTGACGACGAGGATTAGCAATGAGGAGGAGAGAAGATGAGCAGTCGATGCCGCCGCCATATCCGCCACCAACCACCTCTACGCAGAGAGAGAGAGAGAGAGAGAGAGAAGTGAACTGTGAATCAGGTGATTTAGGGATTTAAAATTGGGGTGTGTGGGTAGAGTGGAGTGGGGTAGGGTGTATATAAATTAATTTTTGGTTTTATAATATTAATTAAAAGATCTGATTTTTGTATAAATAAAGTTGTGATGTGATTTTTGAATTTGCATCTTTAAAACTATGGTTTCATGTAATTTTCTCTTTCCCAAATCTCTTGTCTACTCCATAATTTGGTTTAAATAACTACCCAACCAAATGGCTTATCTCTAGCTTAAAGCTTCATATTAACCAATGCTACTGCTTTCACCGAAAAGTGCACTAACGGTATCATCATATACAAATATAGTTGCAACATCCTATCCTTAAAATGTTGCATGTCTAGTACTATTATGCTTGCCGACCTGTTAAGGAAAAGGCTGACCCAGTGGCTTACAGGACCCAGTGGCTGTTCTGACGAACCGTTTCACGTGGATCAACCAAATGTGTCTTTGACACAATCGATGCGTAATCCTTACATAGAAGATAGGGTATTTCAATTGAAGTGATTATTTTCTATGATCATATAGATCTACTTTAGGTCTAAAATGGGTTAGGATGCATAGACCACAAGTTATACACAAAGGTTTTGAAGACCGAGACAATGCCCGCCAAGTTTATTTTTTGTTCATTGCCCAACTTTGGTTGGTACGGCTCCAAAATAATTTTTTAGCGTGGCTTGCCAACTTATTTGGTTGGTTCTCAATCGAATCGATCGTGTGTCCAACTTTTTAAGTGACGATTTTCATGATATAGCTAGATCTTCTTTAGGTAGTGATCAAAATTCGACTTGCAAGTTGCATAGTTAAAGATAAAGTTTGTTTAGGTAAAATGTGTGTAAATTATTTTCTCTTAATAAGACAAATCAGGGTGCATTATGATATCTTTAAAGTTATATTATTCTTTTACACTGGTCTAATCCATCATCAATGACTTTAATTACCCTGTCCTAACTTTTGCTACAGGATTTTTTTCCAAGTAGACCAAGACTACATTTTTATTAAAACCAAATATTGAGTATTAAAAATAAAAATTCAGTATTGCTAACGATTTGGTAAGTACAAATTTAAGGTAAAGTCGAATCCGATGAAAAAACACACAAAGTTGAGAAAGAGCAGGTGGATTAAAGCTGTCTTGGCTCAAAGTAGGGTCGCAATAGGGTATAATTTGGTTCCATTTCTTCTCTCTTTATTATTTTATATAAATTTATTATCTTATTTTTTTTATTCTTTCGTATCAACAAAGCAAAGGTTGAATAGAAGTGCAAAATAAGCCTCCGATTCATTATATCCCCCACAAGCACAAATATAATTTTATTTCTAATATATCTAAATTAAAAGTTGTCATCTATGGAAAAAAAATTAAAAAATTAAAAGTGGATTTGGACTGGGGCCGGTACGTGTTATAGTCAAGTCTAGTCCTCCTCATGTTTCACGTTGAGTGACTTCGTGGTCGATTGATTGAAGTCAGACAAACATTAATCATATTTCGAGTGCAAGCCGAACTTGTAGTCTAAAGAAATCATAATTTTAACATAAAAAATAATGTGTATGACGATTATGAAAATGCGTATATTCGAACGTCTACATCTATGCCCGTTTTGGCTCGTTCATCAAATTCATAC